TTTTTTTTTATTATTTTATTTTATTTTATGTTTTTTGGAAAAAATACTTTTGCCGGCTATACTTTTTTGAAAAAATAATATTACCATCTATACGTTTTTGAAAAAAATAATATTACCAGCTAAACATTTTTGAAAAATTAATATTATCAACTATACGCTTTTGAAAAAATAATACTACCAGCTATACGTTTTATTTTATTTTATTTATTTTATTTTTTTTTGAAAGAATAGTGCTGCCGGCTATATGTTTTTGAAGAAATAATATTATCAGCTATACATTTTTGACAAAACAATATTATCAGCTATCCGTTTTTGAAAAAAATAATATTACTAGCTATAGGTTTTTGAAAAAATAGCATTACCAACTATACGTTTTTTTTTGTTTTTTTTTTTTTAAGAATAGTGTTGCCGGCTATAGGTTTTTGAAAAAAATAATATTACCAGCTATACATTTTTGAGGAAAAAATATTGAAAGAAATAGATTTTTGACAAAACAAAAATATTATCAGGAAAAAATGTTTTCGGCATTAAATGACCCATTGAGGTTGATATGCCGTAATCAAAACAAACCAAACCACACCTGGTATTTCGAAACGCTCACCCGTCGTGATAATGACCATGTTCGATGTTGCTTAACTTCACCGATCATACGGGAACAGGTGTTACAGCGTGTTATGGCTATAAACCCCCATCCGTGATTCATTCTTTTCGCCAGGGTGAATATAAATCGGGCAATGGAACTCGACTTTTCTTTTCCTTTCTTGCTGAAGAGTCTTTAGAAATATTCATTCCCGTTTCTTTCAAATTCACTAAGTAAGAGTCTTTTATTCAGTTTTCTTTAAATTTTATTAAATTCCCGAATTCATGAACGCTCACGGCAACAGATCCACAAGCCTCTGTTACGACCCAAAGTTAGCTACGAACTAGTGGCAAGTCGAGGTCGGTATCAATTGACCCTTGAGCCATGCGTTTCTGAACAATTTTATCCATTCTGCTTGAGCTCCTGAGTCAAAATGTAATGTTTCACAGTAGATATAAATATAGTTACAATTGTTTACCCACCGTTCAACCAGTTACTACGCATTAAGCGATTTTTCTCTACCACCGGTCAACCGGTCGCTGGACATTACGCATTTTTCCACCACCGGTAAAGCGATGGGCAGGGCTCAAAGAGTGAAGGACGTCTTCTGTTGGCAATATCAAACGCTTTATAAATTGAAAGATTTAATTAAAATAACAAACCGTAAAAAACTGTCAATAAATTAAAAGCGTTTCTCGTTTAGTTGCAGTTTTATATGATGGTCAACGGCAAATAAATAGTACAGTAGAATCCCTCATATCCGGAATCCCTCATATCCGGAATCCCTCATATCCGGAATCCCGCATATTCGGACATGATTTTGATGTGTATATTTCAGGAAATTTACTTTGGATAATTGCTTATGCTTATTTCACCTTAATGGCTTGTATTGGTGCAAAAGATGATGGGAATAAGAGGGAAAGAACAACTTTGGAGTTATTGCAAAAAGTGGAAATTTTAAACAGACTAGACGCTGGTGAATGTCATTGTAACTAATGATTGAGTTCAACATAGGAAAGTCAATATTTTATGATATAAAATCTTCCAAAGAAACTATTCTTCAGCGTTCACGCTGTCACAATGGGCAAGGAAATTTAAAAAAAAAAAAACATGATTGTGATGAAACCTGGAATGAAATTGAAAAAGCTATTTAAAAGGTTGTCGGTTTTATGGAAAGAAAGCCAGCATTCAGCTATGACGACTGAATTAACGCACGCAGAGTTAAAAATTGTCTTTCTTTTTTAAAAAAAAAATCGAGAAAAAAGCAAAACGAAATGAAGAAAAAGTTGAGAATGACATTAGAAGAGAAAGAATCATCATTCAACAGCGATTAAAAAATCCTCGTTACATTATTTGTTTTGCATACACGGTATACTTAATTTAATGAATTTTCATTAACATTATATATTTTATTTCTTTTTCTTTAAAATCAATTCCGTTATATTTCACTCGCCATTAGCTTATGTTGTTTCCTATAAAAAACTGAAAATAAATTTTAAACGTGATTTTAGTTCTTTTATTTTAATCTAAATATAACCGCCCTACATTCAGATTTTAGCCAATTAAGTATATCCAGATGGCCTTCTTAGTTCGGTTGTCAGAGTTCTACTGTACACATAAACTGACAGATTTAATTAAAATCAAAACAGTAATAAAAATATTAATAAATTAAAAGCATTTTTTTTGTTCATATGCAGTTTTATGATTGTCAACAGCAAATGAATATTAATTCAAACAAAATATTTTGCATAACAGCAGATCAGGGTTTGGGATATGTCGACACGGATTGACATACACAAACACAAACCTGGCTAACTGCAACAATTCATCGATTCCAGAAAAGGTTGAAAAGCCCCTGGGGAGATGCTAATTCATGAAGTCTCTGTAGTTGTCCAAAACTCCAAGACATTTTTCATGCAGGATCATGCGTGCATCTAGAAATCTCCACGATATCTTACAAATCGTAGATTGGGATTACGTGGGGCGAATGTAGTGGTCACGCCCTTCATCGCGAGTCTGAAGAATGTCCCTCAAAGAACTTGAGACCGATATTTGAATATCCTGACTATATTGCGGCATATGCAGTGCGTGAATGAAATGGAGAAGAAATAGTTAAATCTAACGCTCACCAAACACCGACTCGAAAAAGTGGACCCAATCTTTGCTACGTGAATACAATAAGCACAGTTATGTAATCACCAGCCTTCTGCAAGTTCTCTTGTCAACTCGAACCCATAGTCTCCAAAGATCTGCGCCACATAAGGGTTCTACCATCAGCTCGAAAAACCTGGTAGCTCTGTCTCACCGGATCACTCCACATAGTTCTTGTCTTCCTGTGTCTAATTAGAGACGCCACGAGATCCTTTGAGGCGCGCTTTTACGTATCAAAGTGTTAAGAGAGGTAACTGTTGCAGTCTTCTGGCGCCATATTCAATAGAAATCTAAGAAAGTTGGGCTGAGATTAAAAGAACGACCGAATAAGTGAATGATTGAATAAAAAGAATGAATGAATAAAAAGAATGAATGAATAAAAGAATGACTGAATAAAAGAACGACCGAATAACAAAACGTACGAATAAAAGAACAACCAAATAAAATTCTACCTAATTAAAGACCAAAAATCAGTAATCTATGGAGAACGGTAATACCTTCCATTAGCTTAATTGCAATACCTACAAGATACGTTACATCGGGGGCTGACACATGTCCCGACAATTTCAAAAGTGAAACTAGCATTCCCGAGTGGCACGCACTGTATACCGACCCCATCTTCAGTAATTTAGGTCGCGTTGCCTTAAGTAGACTCGATTTCACAATCACCAGAATAGAATTGATCTAAGTCTAGATATTTCCATGACATCAAGGTAGGGTGATATTACATATATTACCAACCTTTAACTTTACATAGTCTCATCCCATGACAATTGGTACGCCAGTGTATATAATATTTGTCACGAGATCTGCCCGGAATTTATCCAATCACACAAACCAATCCAAAACATCATTTGAGAACTGTATGTAAGACATTCATACTCAGAAGTGAATGCATTGCGCGGGTCTGAACAGGTACTCGCCATTGGCACTTGACATTCATAAATGATGGAATGAGTTTGCATATTGTTTTATTATGCAATTAAAAATGAATGAGTGGTTCATTTAATCGTATCTCGCACTAATCTCGTAGGAAACATTGGTATCTCTCGGGTCTGTCCATCATCGTCTTATGTGGAGATTAAGATTTGCTATCGATGCTGGTTTTGCCAAAGCTGAATTCGAGGCCAGAACCACGTGCATGAGAATCGGAGAATCGACGTTAGATATCAGAGAAGATATTTTAAGAAAAGTAAGTTTCTTCGTTAATATAAAGTGTCCGTAAAATTTCAGGAGATTCACAGGCACACACACACACACACACACACACACACATATATATATATATATATATATATATATATATATATATATATATATATATATATATAATAAAAAGGCTTAAACACTAATATTCCATGGTCATTAGTGTTTAAGCCTTTTTATTATATCCTTACTCTGTCCTGGACATTGAGTTCTACCTGGATTCTATCCTCTTGGAAGTTTTTATTCCCAAAAATATATATGTATGCGTATGCATGTATGTATATATATTTATATATTTTGCATATGTATGTGTATATTTACCACTAATATTATCTATCTATCTATCTATCTATCTATCTATCTATATATATATATATATATATATATATATATATATATATATATATATATAAACGGTGTTCCCCCAAAAATAACTTAATTTAAAATTTGAATATCTGAATATCCTTAATGTGCCAGACAAACGAAATTACGTCGTGTAGACTAATAAAAGAGTTATTGATCAAAATCCGAACAAGATATTTAAAGGGATGTAGATTGTATAGGCAATTTCACAAGGTTTCACAAATGTGCGCACTAACTGTGAAAACGACCCACGTCAAGTCGGTAGTCTAGTTTCCGCCAAGACGATGTAGCATGCCTTGCGTAACATTCTCCAGGGGGGGTGGGTACAGACCTGTCCTTTCACATAGCCTCATAGAAAAAAAATCACAAGGTAACAAGTCAGGCGAACTGGTAGCCATTTTAACAGCATTTTAACAGTACATTTTCATTCTTAGGGATTCTCATTGTGTGATGTCTCATGATTAATGAAAATGATTAATTGGGATAAACAAATAAAACTGCATTAGAAATTTGAAATTATAGGATGTTTTCCCAGATGATTTTTTCATTCTGATCATATTTCTACAGCTATTTCTTATTACTGGCCAAGTTTATGAACAACTGATAGACTAAGATTGTATAGTGAGAACATGCGTCTATCAGTTCGGTCAGAAACACTGTATTAATAAAGATAAAAATGTTTAGAAAGAAAGAAATTTGATTAGAAAGAAAGAAAGAAAGAAAGAAAGAAAGACTCGAATAAAATTGAATCAACGATGAGAAAAATGGAAAGAAAGAAAGAAATTTGATTAGATAGAAAGAAACAAATAAAACTGAATCAAAGATGAAAACGAACGACAGAAAGAAATTTGCCTAGAAAGAAAGAAAGAAAGAAAGAAAGAAAGAAAGAAAAATTCAAAAAAGATGAAAAAAGAAGAACGAAAGAAGGAAATAAAGATTAGAAATAAAGAAAGAAACAGATAAAAAGAAAACTATGATGAGAATGAACGAAAGAAAGAGATTTGATTTGAAAGAAATAAAGTTGAGAAACAACGAACGAATAAAAGAATGACTGAATAAAAGAATAAGTGAATAAAAAATGACCGAATAAAAGAATGACAATAAAAGAACGACCGAATAAAAGAATGACTGAATAGAAAGAATGAATGAATAAAAGAATGACTGAATAAAAGAACAACCGAATAAATGAATGACTGAATAAGAAGAATGGCTGTATAAAAGAATGACTGAATAAAAGAATAAATAAAAGAATGACCGAATAAAAGAATCACTGAATAAATAGAATGAATGAATAGATGAATGACTGAATAAAAGAACAACCGAATAAATGAATGACTGAATAAGAAGAATGGCTAATAAAAGAATGACTGAATAAAAGAATAAATAAAAGAATGACCGAATAAAAGAATGACTGAATAAATAGAATGAATGAATAGATGAATGACTGAATAAAAGAACAACCGAATAAATGAATGACTGAATAAGAAGAATGGCTGTATAAAAGAATGACTGAATAAAAGAATAAATAAAAGAATGACCGAATAAAAGAATGACTGAATAAATAGAATGAATGAATAGATGAATGACTGAATAAAAGAACAACCGAATAAATGAATGACTGAATAAGAAGAATGGCTGTATAAAAAGAATGACTGAATAAAAGAATAAATAAAAGAATGACCGAATAAAAGAATCACTGAATAAATAGAATGAATGAATAGATGAATGACTGAATAAAAGAACAACCGAATAAATGAATGACTGAATAAGAAGAATGGCTGTATAAAAGATTGACTGAATAAAAGAATAAATAAAAGAATGACCGAATAAAAGAATCACTGAATAAATAGAATGAATGAATAGATGAATGACTGAATAAAAGAACAACCGAATAAATGAATGACTGAATAAGAAGAATGACTGAATAAAAGAATAAATAAAAGAACGACCAAATAAAAAAACGCATGAATAAAAGAACAGCCAACTAAAAGAATGACTGAATAAAAGAATGACTGCATAAAATAACACCGGACAAAAAAACGACGGAATAAAAGAATGACTGAATAAAAGACCGACAGTTAAAAGAATGACAGAATAAAAGAACGTCCTAATAAAAGAATGACAATAAAAGAACGACCGAATAAAAGAACAATCGAATAAATGAATGACTGAATAAAAGAACGACCGAATAAAAATTTTAAAAAATCATCGAAGAAAACAATGACCGAATAAAAAAATGGCTGAATAAAAGAACAATCGAATGAGAGAATGTCTGAATAACTGAATGATTGATAGAATGACCGCAGAGTTAGAAGGACACAAAGGAAAATCAAATACGATTGGGAAGAAAAAAAGACGTACAAAAATGAAACAAAGATTATAAAGAAAATGCAATAACGAGAAAGAAAGAAAGAAAGAAAGATGATTAGAAAGAAAGTTTGAAAGAAAAATGAAACATGATTAGAGAGACAGAAACATATTTATGGAACAAAGTGTAGAAAAAAAAAAGAAAGAAAAAGAAACATTAAAGTTTATTAGAAAGAAACAACGAATGGAAATGGATTAAAAACAAAGAAAAAATAAAACACGATTAAGAAGAAATAAAGAATGATTTGCTATTGAGACAGGTGTAAATGGTAATGTGATCTCCATAAATACCTAATTGAAAACTGATGACATCGGACAGGTCATTAATGAAAATGAGAAACAGCGTAGGGCCCAGGATATAGCCTTGGAGGTTGGGCCCCAGCATTATATATATTTTATGACAAGAACAAAGTGGAAAAAAAACATGATTAGAATGACAGAAGAAATAAAAAGGCAAATGAAAGAAGGGATAAAAATGAAGGAAGGATTAGAAGGAAAGAAAAACAAAGCGGAAGAAAGAAAAATAAACATGATTAAAAAGAAAAAAGAAATAAAACATAATTATAAAAACTATGTCCGGATTCAAGCAACATTTTTAAACCAGAAATCCGAAGTCTTAAGTCCTTGCTTACATAGAAAAGAGAAAAAAAGTGTAATCCACACCGTTGCATTTATAATAGCCTTGCTTTTCTTCTTCTTCTTAAGAATATATCGTTCATTAGAATTTAAAAAAAAATAAAGCGTCAAGTGGTCATTTGATGAAAATCGCCTGAAGATACCGAAAATTTGAAAACCAAGGTAGCGCATTCACCTAAACTCGTGATTTTTAAAGTATACACACACACACACACACACACACATATATATATATATATATATATATATATATATATATATATTGAGATGGACTAAAGGACCCTGGAAACAAAGAAATTATGCACACAAAGCATCTTTCACATATAGTAAATACACGAATAGCACAATGCTTTCTAAGTATATCTGGGAAATTAAAAACAAAACGCACATCACACCAAAAATATCTTGGAAAATAAGGAAAAGATCATCAACCTACAACAACCAATCCAAAATTTGTAAACTTTGCTTAGAGGAAAAAATAGCTATCATTACCTTCCCAGACCGAAATAAATTGTTAAATAAAACATCCGGGCTCATCTCAAAATGCAGACATGAAAACAATTTTTTAATACGTTACTTAAAAATCGAAACTGAAAAAAAAGTAAAATAAAAAATAAAAAAAATGACAATAAAATAAGTAAAACTAATTAACCCAAACAAATTACCAAATCACACCCATTAGACAAAATAGAATAAATAAATAAAAAATAAAACAAAATCAATGAACCCAATTAAATAAACTAATAATAAACAAATTAACAAACCGTTATCACCAAAATATTAGACTATAAAAATCAAACCAAAAATCAAACGAAAACATAGCTATAACTGTTATATAACGATAAAAAAATACTAAGTTACTTAAAAATCGAAAACCAAGAAGAGTAAATAAAAATATACAGTATAATAAATAAATAATAAAAAACAAGTAAAACAAATTAATCTAAATTAATCCAAATAAAGAAATAAATTAACAAAACGATCCTGATAAATTAACCGTTAGAAAAAAAACAAGTAAAAATAATCAATCCAAATAAATAAATGAAGCAAAAAACAAATTAAAAACTGCTCCCGCCAAAATAATAGTTAGAATAACTACAGCAATCATCTCCAAAATTGAATAAATAGTTTTATCTTCCCAAACCAAAACAAAACTATTAAATAAGCGATATAAACAATTTTTACTACGTTAATAAAACGCCGATTAAAATAAAAATAAATAAATATATAGGATAAGAAATAAAAATAAAAATATAAAATAATAAAAAATAAAAATAAATAAAAACAAGCAAAATAATTTAACCCAAATAACTAAATAAATAAACAAATAAACTACTTCTGGCAAAATAACCGCCAAAATTGACTAACCACAAGGCACCACTGACCCGTATATATAAATAACCGAGAAAAAAATAGCACTCGTAGCCTGACGACTGCGTCTAGCATGAAACAGCCTGTCGCCTCTAAGTGTTGACTTCAATGTTCATTTTATATTTACACACGCTCTATCTCTGATTTTGAGCAATTTATCCCATAAATATAGCACAACTTAAGAGTATATTTCTTCATATATATATATATATATATATATATATATATATTAATTGATTTAATTTTAAATCAATTAATTTATAAAATTAATGCTCTGTAAATTTACATTGACCACTATTTTGTAAAAATAAAAATATTTATATGAACACCGGATTATATATCTTACTGTTCTTTCTTTATATATATATATATATATATATATATATATATATATATATATATATATATATATATATATATTTCAGAGTTGTCCTTCTCCTAGACCAGTTGCCATCCAAGGCTATAGAACCCAGTCTGTCCTGCTATTTTACCCATAGCTGGAGGGAGATGAAGAGGATTCATACCTTTCCCAAGGGTATTAGCACGTAAGTGAATGTAATGGATTCGACTGGAATTCGAACTCGGCTCTGCGATTCCTCAATCCAAGCCTCAATTCAAAACCTGCGGAGGGTCGTTTGGGAACCTTGTGGCATTCGGTGCACCAGGTTTCTGTATTCGTCCTTCCAAAAAGTGTGGCTGGTCCTGCACGAGGCCTTCACCACTATAATCAAATCGCATGTGCCGGTGTCGGGATGTCGGTTTCCTGGGGACTTACCGGCCTGACCCTCATACGTCGAACGCGACGGGAGAGTCGATTATATATATACTTTAAATATCACGAGTTCAGTTGACTCCGCTACCTTGGTTTAAAACTTACGGTATCCTTAGGCGATTTTTATTTAAAAAAAAATACATTTTTTGAAAAAAAAAAAACAAAAAAAAACGATGATATCGTAAGTTTGAAACCAAAATAGCAAATTCAACTGGACTGATTTTTAAAGTTAAAAGCTCTACATGTTATTTTTACATTACTTTATTATTCCCTTCGAGTATTGAACACTTTTGAATACTACTGTTTCCTGGTCTCATTCAACTCTGATCATTAACCTTTTATGTATTATAAATTCTTTGATAGCTAGACAGAAAGAGGTTGCTGATAATAAAAGGAAAAAAAAAGAGATAAATAAAGAAATACTCAGTGAACAAAAGACTGAGAATCAGAAAGCCTGATTCTTTGAATTGCATGCAGTTATCCTTCGTTGAAATTATCGTGCCAGAGAACGAAAAGATTTCAACAAACGTCTCTTTAAACTCTAAACACACACAATTGATTGTATTTTATTTTTTATTCAATTAAATTGTATGCCAAATAAAATTCGATATTTGAATGAAAAATAATGAAACCTGTGAAAAGTTTAAAACTTGAAATCAAACGTCGTAAAAAAAAACATGTTGAATTATTTATTGTCTTCCTGTATCCCGACATCTTTTTTTTTTATTTTTTTCATGAGTTTGTTTCTTCATGTTTAATATTTATGATTGCTCTTTCGTTCTACGTTCGCTTGTTTCTCTGATTCGTGTTTGTTTACTTTTTCATCGTTTCATTGTTTCTCCTTGTCGTTCATACATCGTAAAACAATGAAAATTTATTACTTTCGTACATTCGTTGGTCTTAAACCAAAAAAAAATCAATGAATGTTTTTCTTACGTTCATTCCTTAAAGAAAACCAATGAATATTTCAATTCATACGTTCATTCGTCTTACACAATAAAAAAACAATGAAAATTGTTGTTTTCATAATTTTCTACAACTTCAGCTATAAAAAAATGAACATTTTTTTAATTCAAATGTTTCAATTTCAAAGCAATAGACAGACAAAGAAAGAGTCCTGAACTGTTACACGACATCTATCCTTCTATATAGCAATGAATGCCGGACAATCTCCTCAAAGATTAAAAAGAGACTTGAAACAACAGGAACAAAGAAAAGAACTATTATGTAAAAGAAAGTGTACTGAACTGTTATATAATATCAGTCCTCCTATATGTCAGTGAATGCTGAACAATCTCCTCACCGATGAAGAAGAGACTTGAAGCAAGAGAAACAAAGAAAAGAGTACTGAACTGTTATGTAATATCAGTCCTCCTATATGTCAGTGAATGCTGAACAATCTCCTCACCGATGAAGAAGAGACTTGAAGCAAGAGAAACAAAGAAAAGAGTACTGAACTGTTACGTAATATCAGTCCTCCTATATGTCAGTGAATGCTGAACAATCTCCTCACCGATGAAGAAGAGACTTGAAGCAAGAGAAACAAAGAAAAGAGTACTGAACTGATATCTAATAGCAGTCCTCGTATATGGCAGTGAATGCTGGACAATCTCCTCACATATGAAGAAGAGATTTGAAACAACGGAAACAAAGAAAAGAGTACTGAATTGTTATCTAATATCAGTCCTCCTAAATGGCAATGAATGCTGGACAATCTCCTCACCGATGAAGAAGAGACTTGAAGCAAGAGAGACAAAGAAAAGAGTACTGAATTGTTATCTAATATCAGTCCTCCTAAATGGCAATGAATGCTGGACAATCTCCTCACCGATGAAGAAGAGACTTGAAGCAAGAGAGACAAAGAAAAGAGTACTGAACTGTTATCTAATATCAGTCCTCCTAAATGGCAGTGAATGCTGGACAATCTCCTCACCGATGAAGAAGAGACTTGAAGCAAGAGAGACAAAGAAAAGAGTGCTGAACTGTTATCTAATATCAGTCCTCCTAAATGGCAATGAATGCTGGACAATCTCCTCACCGATGAAGAAGAGACTTGAAGCAAGAGAGACAAAGAAAAGAGTACTGAATTGTTATCTAATATCAGTCCTCCTAAATGGCAATGAATGCTGGACAATCTCCTCACCGATGAAGAAGAGACTTGAAGCAAGAGAGACAAAGAAAAGAGTACTGAATTGTTATCTAATATCAGTCCTCCTAAATGGCAATGAATGCTGGACAATCTCCTCACCGATGAAGAAGAGACTTGAAGCAAGAGAGACAAAGAAAAGAGTACTGAATTGTTATCTAATATCAGTCCTCCTAAATGGCAGTGAATGCTGGACAATCTCCTCACCGATGAAGAAGAGACTTGAAGCAAGAGAGACAAAGAAAAGAGAGTTGAACTGTTATCTAATATCAGTCCTCCTAAATGGCAATGAATGCTGGACAATCTCCTCACCGATGAAGAAGAGACTTGAAGCAAGAGAAACAAAGAAAAGAGTACTGAATTGTTATGTATTATCAGTCTTCGCATATGACGGTGAATGCTGGGCGATCTTCTCACACATGAAGAAGAGACTTGAAGCAAATGTAGTTCTGCAGAAAGATGCTGAAGATACGATGGACCAAACACGTAAGCAACGACGAAGTTTTAGAGAAAATGGAAACTTATACATAACATCACGATGAGACAAATGAATTTCTTAGGGCGTATAATAAGGAAGAAAGGCTTAAAAAATTTGATATTCACAGGACAATTTGAAGGCAAGAGGGAAAGAGGAAATCAAAACGTAACATATATGATGAGCTTGCGTAAATATATGGCGGAACAGGGTTTAGGAGAAATAACGAAAATACAACGTTTTTAAGAGCTCTAAAGGACATGAAATTGTGGAGAGCCATGATCGCCTACGCCGTGAGGGGACATGGCACATAAAGAAGATGATCCTATCCCCGGTGCATATCATTTGTGTTCAAATTCGAGTAAAAGCAGTGTTGCTATTATTTACACTCGGATTAATGTTCCCATCGTTGTCAATAATATTACATCGTTTCGGTTGCTGCGATCTCCGGCCTTCTTCAGGTTTATATTGAATGGATAACCATCAGGAAATTTCTTTTTTTTTTTAAATCTACCCGCGTAGATTTTTGGGGATCCGCTGATTTTTCATCTTTTTTTTTCATAATGATATTCACCTTGTATAAGGCACGAGAGCCACTGGAGGGTTGGTCTTATAGATTAACAGTGTCAATGGGCAGAGTTTATGAGGATATGTGGGGAAGATAACAGAAAAACCTAGAATTGAACAGGCTAAGAGAGTAGTGGAAGTATCCTCCGAAGGGAAGCGGCGTGGTTCGATACAATGTGAGGGTTTTAGCTGGGAAAGTTAGAACTTGTGAAACTAAGGAATGTATTTCGTCTGAACCCTTTCAATGAAAATAGCGACATGCTTGCAACATTTTGTCTCTGGGAAAGTGGTTGTAGGGTGGAAAATAACTAAACAGCCGCAAGATCGCTGAGAGGTTTTGGACTCTATTGAGACTAGAAAATGAAGACTGGTCAGCTATGCCAATATATAGAAAGCAGTGCTCCATTTGCGGCTTGATCTGGCTTCTGTAAAGGTAGAGGACAGCGTGGGGGGGTAAGTCAAGTTCGCATTTGATGGACTGAACATGTGAGAAACAAAGATAGAAACAAAAAGGACACACAAATAAACTCAGAAAGAGAGAGTTAAATTTCTTGAAGCCCATGTTGAGGATAGCGGGCTTGGAAAATTTGACACTCACAAGTCATATTAAAGGCTAGAATGATAGAGGAAAGCAGGGGAAAAACGAATCTAACGAGCTTTTTAAACGATTGGCAGAATAGGGATTAGGAGACATAGCAAAAAGACAAACATTGCGAAGAGCTACAAAAGAAAGGAACTTGTGGAGAACCATGACCCTGGAGGGACACGATGCACTATCTCGCAGCAATATCCCTAGACGGATATCCCTAGATATGGTTGAAATGTTTTGAAAAAAAGTCAAGAAAAAGATGATTATCTCCCTTTCGTCGAGATGAAGTCAAGTGGGTCACGTGACGTCTTAGTGATGTCACTTCATGCAGTAACGAAAGTGGCAGCCGGTCAGCTTCCAGTAATCAAACCGAGCAATGAAATGAGTTACTGGAATTATTTAAACTATTTACATTGTTCGTACTGCTGCCTTCATCTTTGTTGCCATATTCACGACGTTTCGGACGTTGTACGCTCCGGGCATCCATCTTCAGGTGATTGGAATTTCAAACGAAAGCCTTATTTTGTCCACCGGAGTAGAGTGTTCTAGATGAAATAAAAGGTTCTGTTTAAAATACAATCATCTGAAGAAGGCTAGAGTGCACAACGGCCGAAACGTCGTAAATATAACAGCAAAGTCCGAACAATGTAAATAATGTAAATAGTTACAACTCATCTCATAAATATAGAAAGCTATATATATATATATATATATATAAATATATATATATATATATATATATGTTACTCTGCTTTCACAATGGATTACATGGTAGATGATCCTCAGCTTTTGTGTATATACATGTTTGTGTGGACATGGTTACTGGAGGCGGTGATAGGTTGTAGTTTTGGTGAAGTTATATTTTCAAATACAGTTTAATAAAAAATTGTCGGATATTATATGGATTAATGTCATAAAAAAGATCTTTTATGTTGGTTGCTTGGTTGATTTTGTTTAGTGGCAT